GAATGGAATGGAAGAGAAGAGAAGAGAAGAGAAGAGAAGAGAAGAGAAGAGAAGATTGGAATGGAATGGAATGGAATGGAATGGAATGGAATAGGAGATTAGAATAGAATAGAACATTCGAATAGAATAGAATAGAATAGAATAGAATAGAATAGAATAGAATAGAATAGAATAGAATAGAATTCCCCAACCAGCATGGCACAGTTGACTGGGGGGATTCTGGGAATTGGTCCACCCACCTTAATGATGGACGTAGTGGCTCCTTGTTTGCAAGCATAAGAGTGAGAGAAAATATTTTTTCCCAAGTTTTACACCAGTTCTCCTTCCTAAGACACACAACGTTTCCAGTTTTATTAATTGACTAGCTCTGTACCTGTGCTTCGCTATGAAACTAAGTGATTGGGCTTAGTTTTTGGTGAGGAAAATAAGGGGGGGAAAATGTGCCTCTGCCTACCAGCATCCATCGGTATTCATCTGGCTAGTGACCTGTCAGCTTGTGAGAGAGTTGAGGGCTGTTTGGAAACTGAAAAAGTATTTGCTGTGTGAGCAAGGAGACAGCAAGGAGCCTGGGCGTGGCTTAGCTCAACTGTTCTGTACTAAAGCTGCTTGCTGCTGTGAAACTGAACCTCCTCTCCTCTGCTTATGTTTTGCATTTGGAAGAGATTTCTTTTCAGGTGGGGAGGGGGAATAGAACTCCTTGGCATCAGAGCATGTTAATAATAACAATATAGGAAATACTAATAGCTCTGATGGTCATTTAGAAAAATCCTTTCTTAGCGAGCACCTAGAAGCCAAGAGGAACCTACGTGCCAAATTTCAAATTTGTAGGCTCTACAGTTCTGGAGATTTTGCGATGATGCGTAAGTGGTCTTTCGCTTTGATAGATAGATAGATAGATAGATAGATAGATAGATAGATAGATAGATAGATAGATAGATAGATAGGGAAGCTGGAAAATGTTGCTCGAAGGGAAGGAAGGAAGCAACTTCAAGAATCTTTCCTAACTCGGTGATCTCTTTTGATCCACTTCGTTCTGCTCTAGCAACAGCAAAGCTTTGGAACCCACGAACCAGTCTGCAAAAACCAAGGCCAAAGGTTATGGTAGGACCAAGGAGAAGACCTTGGAATGTGGACAGATTGTCTGGGGTCTGGCTTTTAGTTCGTGGCTGCCGTCCCAGTCACATAAGTATCGCCACCGGAAGGAAGCGTTTCCTTGCTTGATCCTGGCCACAGGATTACATGATGGGCAGATTAAAGTCTGGGAAGTAGAAACAGGTACGTTGGCTTTATTTCCTGAAACAGCAGGCAATCTTTGCAAATTTGCTTACAGGTACAGGCACACGTGTGTGGAACTTCTTTCACCCTGCCTCAGTACAGGTAGTCCTCAATTTTATGGCCCAAGTTTGTTTGTTTTAGAGTCTTTGTAAACAAGATCGATGGAAAGACAATGGTTACCAACCTGCCTTCCATGGAGGACCCGTATACTGCACGAGTCAAAAAGAGGGCTGTGAAAATATCTACAGACCCCTCACATCCCAGACATAAACTATTTCAACTCCCACCCTCAAAATGATGCTATAGAGCCCTGCACACCAGAACAACTAGACACAAGGGGAGTTTTCTCCCCGAACGCCATCCCTCTGCTAAACAAATAATTCCCACAACACTGTCCATCTATTTAATGTATTGCTATTCTTCTTCTCGTCCTTCCTAGTACTTATCTCTTCCCACTTATGACTATAACCTTGTTGCTGGTATCTCTACGATTTATATTGTTTTATTTGTTTCCTAGTATGGTTTGACTGCTTATTTATCAACCTATGACTATCACTAACTGTTGTATCTTATGATTCTTGATGAATGTATTTTATTTCTTCTTTTTATGTACACTGAGAGCTTATGCACCAAAGGCAAATTCCTTGTGTGTCCAATCACACTTGGCCAATAAAGAATTCTATTCTATTCTATTCTATTCTATTCTATTCTATTCTATTCTATTCTATTCTATTCTATTCTATTCTATTCCATTCCATTCCATTCCATTCCATTCCATTCCATTCCATTCCATTCCATTCCATTCCATCCTCCTCCTCCTCCTCCGATTCTGGTTCTATTCTATTCTAAATGCAAGAGACTAATGTTCTGCAGATAATCCTTGACAAACCATTTCATTGTCCGTTTGCCCGCTGCCTCCTTCTCGGCAGGGAACATGCTTTTTCACCTTGCGGGGCACCAAGACGTGGTGAGGGATTTGAGCTTTGCACCCGGCAACCCTTGTTCCATTCTCGTCTCTGCATCCCGGGACAAAACGCTTCGAGTCTGGGACCTCAGTCAAAATGGTAAGAATGATCGTACAGACTAACAGAGTTGGAAGGGGCCTTGTAGGTCATCTAGTCCAACCCCGCTGCCCAAGCAGACCCTACAGATTTTCTGACCGATGGCAATCCAGTCTCTTCTTGAAAGCTTCCAGGGATGAAGCTCCCACAACTTCCAAAGGCAACTTCTGTTCCATCGGTTGATTGTTCTCCCTGTCAGAAAATTCCTCCTTATTTCCAGGGTTGAATCTCTCCTTGTTCAGTTTCCATCCATTACTCCTTGTCTGGCCTTCAGGTGCCTTGGAGAATAGCTTGACCCCCTTCCTCCTCTCTGTGGCAGCCCCTCAAATATTGGAAGACTGCTCTCCTGCCTCCCCTGGTCCTTCTCTTCCCTAGACTAACCAGGCCCAGTTCCTGCAACCGTCCATCGTATGTTTTATCCTCCAGTCCCATCGTCATCTCGGTTGCTCTTCGCTGCACTCTAGAAGAGTATGAGCTGTGGAGTCTCTGGTCTGTCCGACACTTTCCCTCGCAGCATTAAAAGTGGTGCTCCAGATTTTGTCCCTGGTTTTTCAGGAGCAAATGGGAAGGAGGTTCTGTAGGTGCCGTGAAACCTAAGGTTTAACCATTGTTTGCTAAGGAGTGAGAGATCAGGGGTTTGAATTACATCTTCAGGGTCCCTTCCAACTCTATTACGGTTAACTGTAAAGGGAAGAAAGCCACCCAGGGAAGACAATGAGATCTCTCCATGGTTTTACCAGGAAACGTAGATAGGATTGGATCAAAAAATCTGCCTACTCCTAAGAGGACTGATGTGCTATGAATCCATTGATGATATCCGTTTTGCGCTCCAAATTCATGACGACCTAACTCCAAGCTCAATGGGTTTGTCCCCCAATAAGATTTTCACAAATATTTGACCAGGAGAGATAGATAAGGCAGGGTCGAAAAGTCAGCGCCCTTGTAAGCATACCAACGTGCTAGGAGTTTATTGGCCATGTCCGTTTTACTGTATGAATTCATGGAGCCCTTAGTGATGTTGTCCCCACACCCAATGGGATCTTCCCATGTATTTGACCAGGAGAGGTACATTGGGCAGGCTTGATACGTCAGCACACTCCTAAGCAGACTAATGCCATACACATTTGTTGCCAATGCTGCCATTTTGCTCTCCGAATTTATGGCTGAGCGGCTAAGACGCCGAGCTTTGTCGATCAGAAAGGTTGGCCGTCGGTGGTTCGAATCCCTAGCGCCGCATAAGGGAGTGAGCTCCCGTTGCTTGTCCCAGCTTCTGCCAACCTAGCAGTTCGAAAGCATGTGGAAAAAAAAAATGCAAGTAGGAAACTAGGGACCCCTTGGGTGGGAAGGGAACAGCGCTCCGTGCGCCTTCGAAGGTGTTTAGTCATGCCGGCTACATGACCACAGAGACGTCTTCGGATAGCGCTGGCTCTTCGGCTTTGTCACGGAGATGAGTACCGCCCCCTAGAGCCGGGAACAACTAGCACGTATTATGTGCGATGGGAACCTTTACCTTTAACCCTAAATAGATTAGCCCCCCGGTGGGATTTTCCCGTGTATTTTACCAGGAAACATACATAGGGCAGGCTCAAAGGGTCAGTGCCCTCCTAAGCATACCCATGTCCTACGAATTCCTTGGCGATGTCCATTTTGCTTTCCAAATTCATGGAAATCCTAAGTGGACTTGCCCCCCCGCAAAAATGAAATCTGCCATATATTGTATAAGGAAATGTAGATAGGGCAGGCTGAAAGAGTCAACAGCCTACTAAGCAGACCGATGCTCTATGAATTTATTGGCGGTGTCCTCTTTGCTCTTCAAATTCACGGAGACTTAAGCCTAACCCAATGCAATTTTTCCTGTGTATTTTACCGTGAAACATAGAAGGCCTTGCTAGTTGGACATTCTTAGGAGGGGGACCCGTAGCATTCAGACTTCCTGTCTGGTTCTCAAATCCCCCACCTTCCCGCTCTCCCCCTCTTCTATTTTTTTTTTCTAGGGAAGCAATTGAAAGTGCTTTCTGGACATTTGCAGTGGGTTTATGGTTGCTCCATTTCTCCTGACGGTCAGATGCTCTGCTCCGTGGCTGGAGAGAAAGCGGTGAGTTAAGCCTGCACAGAAAAGGGCCGTGTTGATGACAGTGAGAAACGAGGCTGGTATATAGATCTTTGGTGATAATCTATCTTTAGATTTGTGACCAAGTGGTGAGAGTGCAGTACTGCGGGCTACTTCTCCTGACTGCCAGATGACTGCAATTTGGCAGTTCGAATCTCACCAGGCTCATGGTTGACTCAGCCTTCCATCCGTCCAGGGTGGGTAAAATGAGGACCCAGATTGTTGGGGGCCAAGAGGCTGACTCTGTAAACCGCTTAGAGAGGGCTGTAAAGTAGTATATAAGTAGGTGAGGCCTGTCAAACTGGCGGCTTGCAGGGTGGAAGCATCCTGCACAGTCCACACCCAACTCTGTCCTGCAAAGGTAAAAAAAAAAAATGTTGTGATACGTCATGATATGTCACGTGACGCAATCAGGTTTGACACCTGTGCAGTGGTGGGATTCAGATTTATTTTTTACTACTGGTTCTGCTGGCGTGGCTTGGTGGGCAAGGCAGGGAAAGGATACTGCAAAATCCCCATTCCCTCCCCACCCCACTAACCTGCTTTCCAGCTCCGTTCTCCTGTTCAGGGCAACCAAATAAGACCCAACCGATCAGTTGAGTCTTGATGGGAGGCAGAGAAGAGACGGGGTTGGCGGGACCAGTCAGAGGTGGGATTGGCCAGTTCTCCAAACAACTCAGAATTTGAACACCACCTCTGCTGTGGTGTAAGTGCTATTTCTCCCTCCCTCCCTCTCTCTCTGTCTCTCTCTCTCCCCTTCTCCCTCCCTCCATCTCTCTCTCTCTCCTCTCTCTCACGCTACCAGGCTCTGCTCTGGAGTATGAAATCCTATTGCCTGCTGCGGAAACTGGAGGGACACCAGGGTTGCATCGCGTCCTGTGACTTTTCTCCAGACTCTGCTCTTCTTGCCACGGCTTCCTACGACACCTGCGTGATCCTCTGGGATCCCTGTACAGGGGAAAAGCTAAGATCCCTTTGGTAAGGAAAGTGGACGGGTGGATGGTGCCTTGGCGAGGTGGGCTGGATAGGAAGCACGGATTCCTTCTTAATCCTTCGCGTTAAGATTAAATTTGCGGAATCCGGCAGGTCTGAAAGTACAGGTAGCCCTAGACCTATGACCACAGCTGAGCCCCAAATTCATGTTGCTCAGTGGAGGAAATGGTTACTGATGGCGTTCTGTTAACTGAGTCACTGCCGTTGTTGAGTTAGTCACCTGGCCGTTAAGTGAATCTGGATTCCCCATTGACTTGGCTTGTCAGAAGGGGATCAATGAACACGGGACACTGCAACCGTCATAAAGGTGAGTCAGTCATCCAGCATCCGAATATAAATCATGTGGCCATGGGCATGTTGCAATGGTCCCAAGGAAATGGTCGTAAGTCGCTTTTTCTTGGTGCCATCATAGCTTCAAACAGTCACTGAATGAACTGTTGTATAAGTCGAGAACTACCTGTACAGTTCTCCCCGGTCCCCTTTTAAAAGGTAAAGGTTCCCTCTCCGTTGCAAAGCCGAAGAGCCGGTGCTGTCCGAAGACGTCTCCGTGGTCACGTGGCCGGCAGGACTAAATGCCTTCAAAGGCGCAAGGAACGCTGTTCCTTTCCCACGAAGGTTGTCCCTATTTTTCTACTTGCATTTTTCTTACGTCCTTTTGAACTGCTAGGTTGGCGGAAACTGGGATCTCTGAAGGAAGGCCATTCCCATAGAGACCGTGACAGGGCAGCTGGGAGGACTCAAAAGTTGCAAACTGGTGGGAGATGGACAACGGTTGATCTCCTGCCCAAAGGCATGACGTTCACGTCAGGTGTCAAGAAATGCAACCATCATAAAACAAACTCCGAGGCATTTCAATCCCTCAAAGAACAAGTTTATTTAAGATACGCCATCTTGGCACTAACTAGTGGAAAGCCAGTACTGAAAGTTCCCCGCTCACTATAACGAGATGTTGTCAATTTTCCAAAACAATATCGCACGTCACATTGTCCAACCAGCACGTGCAACTTCACTCCTCCTTCCTCTGTTCGAACAGCCGTTGGAACGCAGCTGACTCATCATCCAGCTTGGTTGTTTTGGCTGGGACTCCATCCACCTCAGTTCTCACCCCCTTCCAGCTCTCAAAATGTGTCAAACTGTATTCACCACTTAACCACATTCAGGCTTGACAGGGTATTGGTTTAGATAGCCTTACCAAGGGACTGAACTGGATGTCTTCACCAGGGTCTTTTATCAACAGCCTACAGTCCCCCCAGGTGGGCTAGTAGGAAGATTCCAACCTGTTTTTCCTTCTTCCCAAGGCATGTTCCTTTGCAACCTGCAGTGGACCAAGGTGGGAACTTCCACACCAGCTCCCTGAGGTCTGTGTGCTTCTCACCTGAAGGCCTCTACCTTGCCACAGTGGCAGATGACAGGTAAGAGGCTCTGGAATGGAAATGCTTACGTTGTTATGGATCCTATTCCAGATATTGGGTCTACAGGAAGGACAGATAAGTGATTTAATTTTGAACAAGGTGGTACTTAGGATGAAAGCAGTGGAGTCCAAGACCAAGCGTCTCCCTCTCTCAGAAGACAAGATCTCAATTAAACTGCCGTCAAGGATTCTGGGAATTCAGAAGAATGTTTGCTGAGTTGACCAACGTTTGGATCAGGATCAGCGGATGTTCTTCAGATGGTTTGACCTTACAAGTCCCATCGTGTCACGCTGGCTAGGAGGGATGGGACTCAAGAGACCCAAAACCTATGGAAACTGAAGACTGTTTTTTATTTAGTTAGGTTCTTGGGCTCCATTTTGGAACGCAAGAATATTCTTTTATCTCCTGTAGGCTCCTTCGGATCTGGGCGTTAGAGCTTGAGAGTCCTGTTGCTTTTGCTCCGGTGAAGAACGGTCTCTGCTGCACTTATTTTCCACATGGTGGGATCATCGCAACGGGGTAGGTTTGGGGGGCAAGAAACATGTGGTGTTTGTCTCAAAGCGGGGGAAGATCTTAAAAATCTGGAGTGTATGGAGTGTGCAGAGATGTTCATGAACCATCCACTTGCCCAATTGTGCATGGTTCATGGACAATTGAAGCTGCCTGAACTAACTGTGTCTCGTTCTTGGGGTCATCTTGAGGGAAGAACAAACATTTCTGCAAAACGTCAAAGTTGAAAGTTGCCCTCAATCCAAGAGACTTGATGTGTGCGTGTATGCTTGTGTCATTGTTGACCTCCCAGTAACAGCCTGGAGTAGTCCTTCTATTTTTCTTGGCAAGAAAAACACAAGGACTACTCCAAGGTTGTCACTAGGGGGGTCAACATTGACACAAGCATACACGCACACATTGAGTCTCTTGAGGTCGACTTCCAACTTTGACTTGTTGGACATATATCTGTGTTATTTTCTTGGAAAGTTACGCCAATGTCATCTTCTAGGATGTTTCCCAATCTAGCCTGGGATCTGTGGAGTCCTTGGTGGTTTTTGTACAGATGTTTCCTTACACAAGTAGGTGACATCATCAAGGCACTAATGGCATGGGCAATGAAACATCTGCAAGAAAACTACCAAGTTCAGAGAGCATTGAGGACCCTAGTCCTCCTCCTCTCCATAGTCCCTATCCCTTTCTGGCACTGATGATGTTCCCTAGTTGGGTAATGAAACGTCTGCAAGAAAACCACCAAGCTCAGAGATCACCAAGGACGCCTCAGTCCTCCTCCTCCTCCTCCTCCTCCACAAACCCTGCTCTCTAGCACTGATAATGCCACCTAGTTAGATCATGAAACGTCTGCAAGAAAAGAACCATGCTCAAAGACATCAAGGACCCCACGTTCCTCCTCCCTGCAAACCCCACTCCCTTCTAGCACTGATGATATTACCTAGTTGGGCAATGAAACATCTCCAAGAAAACCACCAAGCTCAAAGAGCACCAAAGACCCCACCCTTCAACCCTGAGCTATAAATATTCTCTTCTACTGATACCCTGGCCCTGTTTCAATCTTAATCAAGTCCATCTCACCTTAATTTTTTTTTTTTGAGACTGACCCCTATTGCGTCGACTAATGAATGAACTCCAGTTTTTCCTCTTCCTGTTGCAGGACCAGGGATGGCCACGCCCAGTTCTGGACCGCCCCTCAAGCTCTGTCTTCTCTGAAGCACTTATGTCGGAAAGTTCTCCGCGGCTGCTTTACTAGCTACCAAGTCCAGGCGCTGAGCCTTCCCAAAAAGATGAAGGAATTCCTCACCTACAGGACTCTATGACGTTGGCCGGAAGGAGGTGCTGTTGCTGTGATCCAACCATTGCTCGCGCTGGCCTTGTGTTTGCACAAGACAAAACTCTCTGGGGTGTCAAGCAAGGAGGCAACGTCATTTCCTAGCTGAGAAAATGACGAAGGATGCTGTGGGCAAATTCCCTTTTTTTCCCCTGAAGTGGAAGAAATCTTAAAAGAGTTGTTGGCATACTAAAGTTTGCCAGATACCCTCCCGGGCTCAGAGTTACTGGCAATGGTGAGATTCAAATAATTTAACAACCGGTTCTCTGCTCTAATGATTTCTTCCAACAACCAGTTCACCAAACTGCTCAGCAAGTTAACAACCAGTTCTCCCAAACCGGTGCGAACCGGCTGAATCCCACCACTGGTTACTGCGATGCGGGTTTTGACAGCCACAGCTGCCTCTTGGGACATTTAAAAAAAACAAACCACCACCACCTCAGGACACAGAAGGAAACAATGATAGAGTGTCATTATTTAGCCAGCCAACGGCAACTTTTGGGGGGTGCTTTTGATTCCTGTTTGTCCACTGTCTAGGAAAAAAAATCAGCTTTGGATCTTCTCTATGAATGCAAACATAGAAATCTTTCCTGCATCAACAGGCCACTGGATGAAAACTTTTCAACTTATGCTATTTACGGGGAGATGGAAATCAAAGCTCTGGTGTTTTATTTTGTTGGCTTGAACGGAGAAACACTTTTGTCAATAAAATAAGCAAGAGGTTTATGTCAAGATTAACGATCTCAAAACAGATTGGGGTCGTCCCCACCGAAGATCAGAGAGCAAAATGGCCAACGATGGACAAACGAGAGACCAAACAGAAGTGTGGTGATATCTTGGAGGATCTAGGAATTCCCCAAATGTGGGAAACACGCAAATTTTTGCACCATGAAACCGTTGAATAAGTGACCGGCTTGTTAAATTGGGGACAGGATACAAAGAACTTTTAGATGGAAATCGAGAGAATTTGTTCTGCCCATCTGATGTAAATTATCCTGAAGGGATCCTGATGGAGATCTGAATTATCTGTCAGATGGTGGGAGAAAGGATCACGTCTTGCTTATTGCAAGGAAATTCTTAACTCTAAATGTAGGAATTTCCTTCTAATAAAAGCTGTCAGGCAATGGACTAGCCAAAATAAAAGCTGTTCCCAGTCACTTGATCTCTTTAAACAGAATTCAGCAGCAGTTGGACTAAGCAACCTCTAAAGTCCCATCCAACTACACAATCGTATGATACTTTCATAACAATGAATTTATTTTAAACAAGATTGGTAGCGGGGGTCAGAGTCAAGAATGGTATTCAGCTGGTTCTGACCGGTTCTTGCGAACCGTAGGGAAAATTTGGACTGGCCCTACCCACCCATTGCCGCCCCCCCCGCCCCCCCCTTTGGCCTCTGCCTCCCAACAATTTCTCTCCTTGCACCAAATAGCCTGTTTCGGTTTCAGCACAGCTTGATTAGCACAAGCAGCTGATTGTCGGAGGGATTGGCCTCCCGACAATCAGCTGCTTCAGGCTGCAGGGATCGCCATTGTCCATTGCCACCTCTGCGCGCCCCATTTTTGGGCCTGTTCTGATCCCCGCCGCCCGAAAATGGAGCATGCGGAGGCTGAATACAGGATGCGGAGGCTGAAAAGGGGCCGCACAGATGAGAGGCAGAAGCATTCTTTTTGTGGTGTGTGTGTTTCATCAGTGCTCATGCCATTGGTGCGCGCACATGTATGAAGCAAACTCCAAACCGATAGAAATTTTTTTTGAAACGTACCACTGGTCAGGGTGCCGCTTAACGTGGTGCTAATGCAAATGTATTTTGAGACATTGTGAACCAATTCTACGATTCCGGAGACACAATAAAAGAGAAACTTCATGCTGAAGCATCCTGAAGACCATTTCTTGTTTATCCAGACTGGCAATGATTCTGTTCAGATCGGTTAAAGAGGACTGTAAGTTCTTCTGTAAGATCCTAAGAAGCACTGAGAATGACCAGGCTGCAGGACATCTAGAACCACAGGTTGTGACGGGAAAGGTTCAGGTGCGTTGTAAGGGCAACCATTAGTTAAACCAGGTTGCAGTTCAGGCAGTGGGAGAGTAGCTTGGTCATCAAGCCTCGGCTGCAATCAGATCTCTGGTGACCTGGAATGCAGCTACAAGAGACCCCAGTTGGATCTTCTCATTTGTCCCTGCAGCCAGGCGGTGTCTGAAAGACAAGGAACAGGAGATGACCGATCGTCGCAGGATGTTTTGAAAAGAAACCTATTTCGCCGGTAAAGAACATCCTACAATGTTAAAGACTCTTCAAGTGGGTGTGAAACGTGTTTATAAAGGCCAGTTACTCAGCGAGCTTTGACCCTGCGGAATTCTGTGATGTTGGCGTTCTGCGCTTGCTGGAGAAAGGAAAAACCAGCTCTGTGTCGGGAAGCAAGCTTCTAGTTCTCACAGTTGCAGGCCGAATGAAACCTTGGCAACTTTAAGGCTGGTGGGCTTCCAACTCCCAGAATTCCCCAGCCACAAAATCACGGTGTCAAAGTGCACGGAGAAATTTTTACACGTAATCAGTGCTTCCTCAGTTCTCCTTCATATTCTCAACAGGTAAAATGACACATGTATTTTTTTTACTAGAGGGTGGAAGTCAGCACACCAATAAAAGCTTAAGCCTGCGTCTACGTTATCCTAAATATGTGAAAAAACAATGTGCACTGAAGAATACTCACTCCACATCTGCCATCTTGATCAGCAGCTGGATCCGAATAGATGTTGGGAAATCAACTGTAGGACAACAAGAGAGCACAGACAACGCTTGACAAAAATGATTCCCCTTCATTGTACGTTAAATAGCCATATGAATAGCACTTCTCTGGGCAATTTACAGAGTCAGCATCCTGCCCCCAACAATCTTATATACTACTGTGAAGCGGTATATAAGTCTAAGTGCTACTCTATTTCTACTATTTCTATTATTATTTCTATTTCTATTATTATTTCTATTTCTATTATTATTTCTATTCTATTTCTATTTCTATTTCTATTTCTATTTCTATTCTACTCTACTCTACTCTACTCTACTCTACTCTACTCTACTCTACTCTACTCTACTCTACTCTACTCTACTCTACCCCTATCCCTACTCTATCCTGAGCCTAGTCTATACCCATGATGGCGAAGGTGGTTAGAATGCAGCATTGCAGGCTCACTCTGTCCACTGCCAGCGGTTCGATCCTCACCGGCTCAAGGTTGACTCAGCCTTCCAAGGTCGTAAAATGAGGACCCAGATTATTGGGGGCAAGATGTTCACTCTGTAAACCACTTAAGAGCGAGCCGTAAAGCACTGTGAAGCAGTATATAAGTCTAAGTGCTATTACTATATGCACCTGCACCAGAAGCGATTAGCAAAACGGCTCAATCACATTTCTGCCTCACTCCAGCCTTCCTGGAGTAAATTTTTGGTGAAATAATAAAGAATGGCATCCCGGCACCTCAAAATCTCTTTTACCTCGATGAACAAACAAATGAACCTCTGTTAGAATGTCCTGTAAAGCCAAGCCCTTCAAGGTTTTCAGTTCCAGGATATCTGAGCAAAATGTCAAGGAGAGCCAGGTTCGATGGTATGGTCTGCAGCCTCAATCTCTCTCTCTCTCTCTCTCTCTTTCTAATCTATCTATCTATCTATCTATCTATCTATCTATCTATC